TCAAACTAAACACCCTTATATGTGACTATGATATCATATGCCTAGCAGAAACGTGGCTAAATAGTGGGGTGACAACTAGTGAAATATTCGATGATAAATTTTTCGTGTACCGCAGAGATCGTGAGAGTTCCACAAGTGTGAAAAGTGATGGTGGAGGTGCTTTAATCGCGACTCGGAGTGCGCTGCAAGTGGTGGAACACCCTGAGTGGCAAACGGAAGCCGAAGATATATGGATAACTCTTTATAAACCAAATAGTAGCAAAATTCATATATGTTGTGTATACCTGTCCCCCGGAGATGATAATGCCCTAGTTTGTTTTACGAACAACCTCTACAGAATATTCCATGAGATATCCGATGATGTAGTCCTAATTTGTGGAGATTTCAATATGCCGCATACTTCTTGGGAACCTAAACCAAACTGCTCATTCTTAATTCCCACTGTGGTGGAACAAAAATTTATAGAACTAAATGATATGGTATGCTTCCATGGTCTCTCACAGTTCAACAATCTGAAAAATGTCAACAACAGAATACTTGATCTAATTTTATGTAACAAATTAGTAATTGATAAACTTCAACACGGCGAGCCTCTAGTGAAAGAAGACCCTCATCATGTGAGTATAGAATTCAACCTGAAACTGTCTGTGCTGAAAAAGCTCAAGTCAAACATAAAATCTCTTAACAATTACAGAGAAGGTAATTACGATGCTTTGAATTTTGAAATCTCTAATATCGATTGGGTTGATATCTTTCAGAGGATTTCAACCGTGGATGATTGCATAGAAGTATTCTATGAAAAAATATATGATCTCATTGAAAAATTCATTCCCAAAAAAAGAGTTTCCAGTGATTTTCCTTCGTACTTCACCCAAAATACACTAAAATTAATAACAGAAAAAAATAAAGCCAATAAAAAATGGAAATTTTTGAATTCTCCAGCAGATTACTTGTTGTTTTGTCAATTACGACGCAGAACCAAGCAAATGATGAATAAAGACTACAAAAATCTTATCAATACTGTCCAAAACGATATACCAAATAATACAAAAAAATTTTGGCAATTCGTATCCGCAAAAAATAGAAATGATAGTCTACCCAATTCAATGAAACTAGATGATCAATACGCAGACGGTGCTGCAGTTTGTGACCTTTTCTCTAAATTTTTCAGAAGTGTATTGCAACCTCACGATCAAACATTACAAGTCATTTCGAAAACAGACAAGTGTTTGATTAACAAAATCCACGTCACAGAAAATGAAGTTCACGACATTCTTCACAAGCTCGATGAATATAAAGGCTGTGGTCCTGGTGGTATTCCATTTTTTATCAAAAACTGTGCATCCAGTTTATATGTTCCCCTTACCATTATATTCAACAGATCCTTTGACGAATTTCTGATATCCTATGTTACATTTCTAAAATCATCCTAAATTTCCCTAATGCTGTTATAGGACTCTGGTGTCCTTTTCAGCACATAAAAAGTGAAGTTTTTGTTTGAATATAAAAAAAGAAAAAAGATTTGATCTAGCTATTTTTGTTGGGTTCGGGAAGACAGGCTGCGGCCTTATTTCCCTGGATCTAATTGTTGCCCATTTGGCGGGGATCATGGGAAACCGCAGAGAACCATGATCACAACAATGTACAGTTGCTTAAATTTAATGGTATACATTATAATTGGGTTCTTCTATGGGTCTTGATTCTTGATTATTTCTGGCCTTTTTGGTGCCAGTGGGCTTCGTGGGCTCCTGCCTGGAAGGGGTTGGGGGGAGGGAGCCTGGGGTGTGGCTCCCTTGTGGTGAAGGTGGTCTTGGTGGAGTTTGGGATGGTGGTGATGATTTGGGGCGACTGGACGTCTCAACGTCCAAGCGTCGCGGGCCCTGGCTTCCGGTATTCCGGTCGGCTGGGAGAGGCGACCGGGTTCCCTGAGGCCGAGCCTCGGCGTCGGGGCGTCCTCGACGTCCATTCGTCCTGGTGGCTGGGCGTTCTAGACGTTCTGGATGACCGGACTATCAGGACGTCTGGGGTTCAGGCGTCCGTGGATCCGGCTGTCCCGACGTCCAAGCGTCCATGCCTAGGGTGGTTGGGGAAGGTGAAGGTGTTTGGCGGGGTGTAGCGACGCTGTTCTTTGGATGGTGGTGGCTGTGACCCCGCTATCTTAGGCATAGCGGGGTGTTGTCCAGGATTTCCTCCAGGTCCTCCGGAAGGTTTTCACATTGTTGAAGTAGGCGTGCTGTGGGAAGAGGTAATTTGCGCTTGGGGCGCCTCCGCAGAGCGCGCCAAGGACTCCAGGGGGCGCTCAATGTGGTTATTGCTGCCTCATTGTCGCCCCCAGGGTCCTCATCGCGTATTTCCGCTGAAGGTCCCCAAGACGTTGGTTTATGGGTGTTATGTTGGTGTTAGTGTATACAAGATGTGTTGGGTGTCTGTAATGAAGGTATTGGCATTTTCTCAGGATTCGACGCTCGGTTGCCTTGCTAGTGTTTGTCTTGGGGTTAGTGTGGTGTATATTATTGCTTTGTAATCAACGATAGGTCTGATGAAGGTTTTGTAGGTGTGAAGGAGTGTTAGTGTGTTACATTTTCCGAGTTTTCCACAAAGTGCTCTCAGGAAGGCTCTTCTTCTGATTTTATTGAGAGTGAGTTGTAGGTCGACCTCCCAGTTGAGGGTGCGAGTGAATCGTACACCCAGATAGGTGACTTGGTCTTGTAGTTGGAGCCTCTGACCTGCGAGCACTAGGCGGATGTTTTCGGGGTCAAGTTGTTTTCTACGTGTGAGGTTTGGATGGGTGAATAGGATGGTTTGGGTTTTTTGTTGGTTAAGTGTTATTCGCCATTTGTTGCACCAGTTTGATAGCTGGTTCAACATTTGTTGTCCGCGGGTGTTTAGTGTTAGTGTGGAGGGGGCTGAGGTGTATAGGGCTGTGTCATCTGCATACAGGAGTGTGTTATGTATATGAGGGATATCGTGGACGTAGATGAGGTATAGGAGTGGTGCAAGTATTGAGCCTTGGGGGACTCCACTGAGAGGAGAGAAGGGTTCTGATAAGGAGAGGTCTACTTTAATACGTATTCCTCTCCTTAGCAGATAGGATAAAAGGATGCGTATGAAATGGTGGGGAAGGTTGATGTTAAGGAGTTTCTGGATTAGGCCTGGGTGCCAGACTTTGTCGAAGGCTTTTTGGACGTCGAGGAAGATGGCTAGGGTGGCGTGACCTTCGTTGATTGCTTTGGTGGCGTGTGTGTGTATTTCGTGTAGTGAGTTTTGTGTTTCATGATTAGGTTGGAAGCCGTGTTGATAGGGTTGTATTATGTTGTTAGTTTGTGTGAATTCGAGGAGTCTGGATTTTAGGATTAGTTCTAGGATCTTGCCAAGGCAGCTGATTAAGGATATAGGTCTGTAGGACTCAGGAATTTGTGGATTTCTTCTAGGTTTTGGGATAAGGATTGTATAGCGCGTTTCCAAGCAGTGGGGACATGGGCGTAGGTGAGGCATGCGTTGAGGATTTTTGCCAGAAGGGCGTGGGTGGATTCTGGAAGTTGTCTTAGTGTTTTTCTGTTTATCGCGTCGGGACCGGGTGCTGAGTTTTTGCCAGTGTGAATGGTTGTGTGGATGTCGTGAGAAGTGATTGGATTTAGGAGTGGGCATTCAGGATTTAGAGGGATGGGTCCTGGGTGGTGATTAAGAAATTGATTTATGTGCGTGATTGTGTTTCTTTGAAAGTTGTTATCGAAATTTGGATGGTTTGGGGTTTGAAAAGTGGATTCTAGGTGGCTTTTAAAAATCGCGTCTTTTTGATCGGATGTGGCGTGGATTTGGTTATTATGAATTAGGTGAGAGTGGGTGTTTTTATTTTGTTTAGTTAATCTTTTAAATGTTTTCCAATATCCTGCTCCGTCTCTGTAATCGAGGTTGGCGGTGGCTTTAATCCAAAGTTTTTCTTTATGTTTATTTATTTTTAATCTGATTGTAGAATTTAATCTATTCCATTCGGCTTTTAGGATAGGGTCGTGGGTTTGTATGTATTGTCGGTATAATCTACGTTTCTGTTTTATGAGGTTTAGGATATTAGGCGGGAGTGTATGATAATCGGTTTTTATGGTGGTGAGGGGAACTGTGGCGTCGATGGCGTCTGTAATTGTGGATTCAAGTGTATTTATTGCGTTATCTATTTGGACTGGGGATTCAAGTGGGGGGTTAAGTGGAAGGTTTTGTGAGATGAGGGTTCTGAATTGGTTCAAGTCAGCTTTTTTGAAATTGAGGAAAGTTATGGTATCAGATGGTTTTGGGATTGGGTTCATTAGCTGAGAGTGACAAAGGAGGGGAAAGTGGTCTGAGGAGATGGATTCCCCGATGTGACACTCACCCTCGAGCATCTCTATGCATCTTTCGGTGCATATGATATGATCGATGATGGATGACCCACCGTATGAAAAAAAGGTGTAGTTTCGGTTTGGGATTCTATGGATGGGAAGTTCGAGTAGGTGGTTCGTGAGGAGTACTCCATTTCGATTTCCCGCGTGGTCTCCGAACTGCGGATGCCTGGCGTTGAAATCGCCAAGGAGTATTCCTCTTTGGAGTGTGGATAGGTATGTGATGAGAGAACGGGATAGGGTTTGGGTCGGATGGTTGTAATATGCTATAATGGTTATGTTATGATTTGGGGTGTGAAGGTCGATGGCTAGGATATCTAGGTCTTGGAGGTGAGGTGGGAGGTTATGAGGTGTGTGAGGGATGCCGTGTCTCACGAGGAAGCCGATGCCTCTTGATGTTTCATTTTTAGGTGTGTGTAGTGTGTTATATCCAGTGAAGCTGGGGGGATGTTTTTGGAGGGTGTCTGTTAGGGCTAGAATTTGAATGTTTTGATTCATCAGGAGGTTTTTAAGGAGGTGTCTTTTTCGGGTGAGGCCCTGGCAGTTTACGGTACCGATAATAAAGTTTGCTGTCATTGTTGTTCGTTTTTTAAGATTTGGTGTTATTTTGCTTTTATATTTTTATTCTCAGATTTTGTTGAAGAAAAACTTCACCTGACCTCCCGAGCATGTACATATGCATGTGTGTCCAAATAGGACCTGCATATTTTTGTTCAGACTCGTGAGAATCAGTTGTCGTCTTTCCGGCAAGGTATTGATTAATACGATTGTGTTTAGCATGATTATTGTTTTTGTGGCTTCGGTAAGCTCTGGGAGGATTGGGAGGGGGGTTAGGACTACCGGGGCGACTTCTGATGGGGTTTGGGGGGGTTCGGCCCTTTTGGGGCATTTGGGGGAAAAGGCGGGGTGGTCTCCATTGCAATTTTTGCATTTAGGGTTCTGGATTTTAGGACATTGTTGTGGTTTATGTTCCTCGCCGCAATGAGGACACGAAATACGGTTTTTGCATTCCTCTAGGGAATGTCCGTTTTCCGCGCATCTGCTACAGTATTTTGGGATAGGGGGGATAGGATTGGGATTGGATGGTTCAACCTGGAATTTCATTCCGAAGAATGAAATTCCTAAGTTTAGGGCTCGGGAATAGCAGGATTCAGAGTCAGTGATGACTCTGATTAGGGTTGTGGGTTGGTTGGTTGCCCGAGAGGTGATTCTCCAGAATTCAATTGTTGGGAAACTGATTTCTTTGAAGGATTCTTCCAGATCCTCCATGGTGATGTCTTTGGGGACACCCTTGATCACCATAGAGAACGTGGGATTCCTTGTGGTTGGCGGTTTTTTATTTGGAAGGATTCTGGGATTTAGGAGGATTACGCGGATTGAGTTCTCTCCGGTTGCGTTTTTGAGTTTAGTTTCGAGTTGTGATTGTGTTATGTTTGAGTTTATTTTAAGCAGTGCCGTTTGATTGAGGTTGGCTTTTAAAAATAGGATTTGGTTCCTTAGGATTTCATGAGTATTCATGGGGTTGTGAAGTTGTTTCTGGGATCTGGTTGGAAGGGATCTTAGGTTGAAGGTTTGTTGAGTGTTGGTGTTGGTGTTGTTGGAGGAGGAAGTGGGAGGGGGGTTGGGGTTGCTGGTGTTATTGTTTGCTTTGAGCGCGGAGGAAAAATTCAGAGTTTTGGTTATTTTTTGTAGCATTGTTCTGTCTGAATAGGAAATATCAGACTCAATCGAGTCGTCGTTGCTTAGGTTAGGTGAGGGGGGAGTTTGGGGATGTGGGGTAGAGGATGTGGAACGTGTTGCCATCCGCGGAGGGATTTGGTTTTTATGTTTTTCAGTAGGCATTATGAGTAGCGAGTTAATGGGTGATGAGGTATAAAAAATTTGAACAATTGGACAATTATCAAATCGACTTACCCCCTTCACTTATCACTCACTAGTCACATTCACTGAACTTCACTGTCACTTTCGCTTTTTTCACTGTTTGGCACTAGTTCACTCTGCTGTTTCTACCTGGGAATAGTTTGGGTCAGGGACTAATCCTTTAGGTGTCGACTCTGCTAAGCTCGCTGGTACACTGTGTCTGTGTGGTGCCTTTGACGAATGCACATTTCCGAAAAAATGGAAAGAGGCATACGTAGTCCCGATTTTCAAAAATGATGAAAAATGTTCCATAAGTAATTACCGACCGATTTGCAAAATTAATATACTAAGTAAATTACTTGAACTGATTGTACACAAAATGCTAATTCATAAAGTTGAAGAATGTATCATTCCTGAACAACATGGTTTCATTCGGACTATTGAAACTAACCTCACGTTATACAATAAATTTGTTTTATCTGCAATGAATTGCCAAACCCAAGTGGATGCCGTGTACACGGATTTCAGCAAAGCTTTTGACAAAATTAATCACAACATATTGATGTCAAAATTGTCTGAGATTGGTGTACACGGTGATCTGCTCCGTCTGTTTACTTCATATATATTTAATCGGTCACAAATTGTTATAGCTAATGGATATGAATCTAATTCTTATATTGTCACTTCAGGTGTGCCACAAGGATCACATTTAGGGCCCCTACTCTTTCTGATTTATTTAAACGTCATCATTTGAAACTTGTAAATTTCTACTTTCTGCGGACGATTTGAAAATATTTGCATCTGTCAAAAGTCCAGTCGATAACCTTTTAATTCAACGTGACCTAGATCGCTTGTATAATTATTGTATCGTAAATAAAATATTTCTCAATTTGAACAAATGTTTTTCCATCTCGTTTACTGAAAATATCAATATATTCTCATATGATTATAATTTCAATAACACCATTTTGAAGAAAGTGGATAAAATCAAAGATCTTGGTGTCGTTTTCGACAGAAAGATGAGATTCTCAGAACATATCGACTATGTTGTAACGAAAAGTAACAAAACCTTAGGATTCATATTGAGACAAAGTGAAAACTTCAATTCCATTCAAGCATTAAAAGCATTATTTTATTCTTTTGTCTACAGCAGACTTAATTACCCAACGGTTGTGTGGAATCCTCAGTATGCTGTGCATAAGAACAGATTAGAGTTGATTCAAAACAAATTTTTGAGATTTATGGACTACAAGGTTAATGGAACTTATAATCACTTGGCAAGCACATGTAGACTTAGGGAACAGTTTCAGTTCTATTCATTGGAGGCTCGTCGAGAACAATCTGATATATTATTTTTGTATAAAGTTTTAAATAATTTATCTGACGCTCCAGATCTATTGTCAAAAATCTCAATTCATGTCCCGTCACGTTTTCTCAGACCTAACAATACTTCCTTTTTTTGTATTATCTTGTCATACAAACGCAGGAGAAAATTCACCACTACATAGAATGAAAAATCTGTACAATCGAAAGTTGTTTTCTGTAGATATTTTTCAATCCTCACTGAATGTTTTCAAAAAAAAAATCAGATACATATACAATTCTCACAGTGCATAGAATATTCAGCAAATTGTAATCATTTCAATGATAAATCTGATTTACTTCATTATCAAATTTTTCAAATTTATTTTAGTTTTTGGGTTATTAATTTATATCTACACCATGAAACTATGTAATAATTGTGGATAACAATCTGGACCTTGGGGTCTGTCGTTATTCTATTTGATTTTCAATAAATGAATAAATAAATAAATAAATAAGAATTACAATGATCTCATGACTAATTCATGTGTTCACAGTTACCAGACTAGAAAAGCAGATAATCTCAGATAACTCCGCTTCGAATTTACAAAATCGGCAAAAAAATTCTATAGATCTGAATTTTCATAATGTTCTTCCTCAGAATTCAAAATCATTGGGTCCCATCAGATTCAAGTCAGTTATAAAAAAATATATTCTGATACACTGCTTTCACACTTCAGGAGATTATTAACTGTCTCCATTCGACTGCTCTTTGAGAAACACTTACTATTTTCAATTAAACTCAATTGTGTGTGAGTGTGATTGATATTTGTTCATCCATGTGAGATATGATTGTGTTCTACTTATTTATTGTTTCAATTTTTATATATTTATATACTCAAATTTTGTTGTTTCAATGAATTTTTATTGTTCATGACGTGCCAAACACTGAATGTGAATTAGTTGAATGAACCTGAATAAAATGAAAATAAATCAACAAAAGCCATCAACAGTGTATTCATATATGTAATATATTGTCGCAACTCAGATGTTGACCCTCCTTTAGGTCGTAACTTAGCTACTCGCTTGGATTTTTGACGAGACGTTTTCATCATCCCACCACCCAACCACATTCATCCCCAAATAAAGAGTCAGTACAGTTTTCATATAAAATTTGGCATTTATTGATTGAATGGAGACATCGTGGATATATGCTTGCCACATAGCAGGGTAGCAATAAAAAATAACATAAACTTGCCAAATGAAACACGACTCGAAACAACACTTGAAAAAAACAACACTCACATTACAACGTCTAGCATTGGGTTGACCAGCAGAATCGAAGTCGGGAAGACGGCGAACATACTTGATTGATAATCACTAATGACTTGTGTTAATGATTATAAGGCCTTATCGACTCGGGTACTATTTATATTCGGAATCGTTTGTAGGTTTGCAATTTTCCGCAATAAAAATAGCCATCATCTTTCAATATTGCTCACCTAGGTAATATCGCACGGTACGCGGTTGTGCGAGTTCTACAGGAACTGAAGTCTAGGAACTCCGCTGACCTGATCGAAACTACACTGTACTGGATGTTTCAATTTGGAGAAGTTAATTTATAATAAGAGATCTTGAAATAAACGCAAGTTTGAGTGATGTTATTCCATAGGCATTCTCACTTCATAAAAAGTACTTAGATTTTTCCGTGCAAAGAAGAGACCTATTGAGTGGAATTTTATAACCTGTCAGCAGAGATGAAATTTCCAACCTTTTCTCTAGTCAGTGGTTACACTAGGACAGCTCAAACAACAGGATGAGGAAATGAATGCTCTACTCTTAACTGGAACGCTACCTGTGTTCTAGCGGGAAAGCGGCGACGCGGTAACGCACGCTACTGATAAGAACAACAACAAGACATCGATGCCAATAACAATATTGAATATTTAGAAACAGATCGTTTGAGTTGAATGAGAAATATATATACAGGGTGCCCCACAGTTCGCAGTCCCATGTTTTAGCAGGGAAGCGGGAGCGCGATGGAGTGACATCAACATCGTCGCGGTCTTTCAGTTGAATGAAATTTGAAAAAACATATAGCCAGCACACCACTGGTATTCGTTACGATCAAAAATATTGCAGTGTTGCCAATAAAGGTGGCAAAATACTCGTGTGATGGAGAAGTTTGATCGGTATTCTCTGTCATACTAATGGGCATCCTCATGTAATCATTGGGCCAAAACAAACAGAGTTTTATGAATGAGATGTTGCCTCTGCTTGGGATAATGGGTCTATGAGTTCCCTGTTTCTGGGTTTCATCGATTGAGGATTTTTACACAGTTGAGAGAATAGTGATTTTTATATTTCGTACTCGCTTGCACTCATCAGATTGAAGCATATTCATCGAATGAATTAATCATGTTTTCATTTAATACATCTTCTCTATCATCAATGCCCGTTGTTTCATGAGGAAAATACCAATAATGAATAATAATGAATGAATAATTTACTAATAATTTCAATGGTTCTTGGATAATTCGCGCGCAGATGAAAACTAACCTATACCATAGGATTGTGCTTTAATCTGTTTGCTGATAATCAATACAGTGTGATTCAGAACAAGAACTTATTAGGCATCAATTATTACATGATACATTTCCGAATTTGGGTTCCTAAATAAGTGGAATGCAAAATCGTTGTTAGGACAGCAGGTGTCATCACATCTCCCCGAAACTCATCTACTTATAGCACAGTTATTAAACCTCCTCATTCAACAGGTTCTCCGCTTCATTCTTAGTCAATTCATTGAAGGGTTTTTCAATTCCTACCTAAACCTACACAGAATGACCAAGATAAAGTTGCAAACATTGGAGTTGTGGAAACGGTAGGTGGAGGATAGCTCGCTTCTATTAGTTTTGACTACCACTTTCGTGGACATTGTGGAATACGAAATGTTAGAATGAGGTAATCGATTTTCAAACCACTGTGTATTCAATTATACACTTCATATAATTATAATGGACGTATCAAAAATGTAAAATGTTCTCATCATCATCAATATATAATCAAGACTGTGATTGAGATAAATCAATTGATGATGGTTGTACGAATATGAAACGTCGCATAAAGGAATGAGTATCATCACGTTGATTATCATCGGAATAACACTTACAATGAAAGTGTAGTTTAGGATTTTTTGTATGTCCAATGATACCGTATGTATATCATATTGAGACGATTCCTTTTTCTTCATATTAGTATCTAACTGGGAAATAATGAAAGATTTCGGACATTTTTGGAAGCTGTTGGAATGGCCCTCTAAATGCGCCATTTCTTCGTATTCAACCAAATACGAATCTCTCATTGTTTGCAAGATCTTATCTTCGTCACACTGTTGAATTTGTGGAAAAATGCAAAATGCAGTAATATCAGAAGAAAATGATGATTATGATGTTGAATGATTATGATGTTGAATGATTATTAAACAACAATTGTGGGATCTGTTACCACAAACTTATTATTCTTCGATAAATGTTGATGTCTGCAATGTGAGGAATAATGGTTAACTATATCGCTCAAAAACTCTTCTTCATCCTGTATTTGATATGATAATGAGACTCCTATTTGTCGATATCCTGTCG